GGCTGCAAGCTACATCCCTTCAGCTGCAAACTAACAGGTTAACCCACTTTACAGTATTCTTCAAAGACCGAGTGGACAATTAGGTCGACGTTTGTTGCCATAAATGCATCACAGGACTTAAAATAACCCGATCCTGTTCTTTACTGTTAACACAAGGAGAATAAAAGAGATGTGTGTTGGTTTGTAAACTGTAAATGCAACTAATCGTTGCTCCTAAAGGACATGTTTTAGGTCAAAGGTGTAATAAAAGGAAGAAAATTGTGTGTTTTAATGATTTAAAGCACTTATTCGGGGGAGATTTTGAAAGCCGGGCTGCTGCCACAAAACCCAATTTATGATTTTCAATAAACATCTCACACTGACTAATCACTGACTTTGGCTGACTTTATATCAAGGTGGAGATGTGGGGGAATAGACTGAATTTGATTCTTAAATCTCTGGCTTAAGGACATTAGAAGAAAGTCCTTTTTTGATTAACGTAGCAGGAACATCCTGTCAAAGTGCTGTTTAACTCCGTCACGTTCATCTTCTTAGAAGGAAAAACAATCTGAGCATAACCAGATAAAAACCAGCTGACAACATAAACAGCAGTTTCATTTGTGCTGAGAAAACCTCAGATGTTCTATTCATGTTTGCTGCAAAACTACCCTGCAACAGCTCCCCAAGAACGCCGGATATTACCCATAAATCACCACTTCCTTGTGGCTGTACTTGATTTGATTCAAAACCTGCCCTTCAGATAATTAAAGGTTAACTGGCATCAAGAGACCACTGACCTCAACAAAACAGTAAAGACTGTTTTTCAGCTGAATGATGCAATTATTGGATGACCTCTTCGTACTGAAGCCATCTTTTTTACAACAAAAAAATTGAGCACTAATCTATCTTAAAGAGCAAGTCACCCCCTAACAAAGTATTACTCCACTCCCACTTCCTGTGGGAGTGGAAAAATGCCTCTTTAATTGGCCTGTCGTTTTTCCTATTTGGCCAGCTGGAGGGTTTCTGTCAACATTTATTTCGGTTTCTATTAGGGGCATGCACCCCCCACAAACAACCGGCTCGGTCGTGGGGGGTGTGGTAAATCACGATATTTGTGGTGATCACCCTAACGTCACCCTAGGCTAGTATCATGATTTGGGGCCTCTGTAACACATGGCCGTCATCTTGTGCCCGTGAGCAGGTCCCTTTTTAAACATTTTCAGGAATTTTCTAGTCCAAATCTGCTGTTGCTACTTAAAAAGGTCTTCCTGAAGCTCAGCCATGCCAAGACAAGCCTAATATAGTCAAACAATAGATTGATACATTTATTATTAAAGAGCAAGTCACCCCCTACCAGAGTATTACTCCACTCCCACTTCCTGTTTAAAAAATGCAACAAATGCTGTTGCCTAGCAGACCGAGAGGGCGGAGCCGCTAACAAATACACACACACACAGGCTCACAACGACATTGTGACATCATATGGTACCAGCTAACGTTCTAGGGCAGTGGTTCCTAACCTGGGGGTCCCGACCCCCACAAGGGGGCGTCAAAGCCTCTCAGTGGGTCGCCCGGACCTCTCCACTTTAAGGGGTTAAAACTTCATTTATTACTTGTTTATAGCCTGCATTTTGCTCATTTTTTTTCATGAGTGAAAAGTTTACTGATATTAAGACAGGAAATAATTAGTACAGAAAGAGTAACACACTTTTAAGAACATTTTGCTCAGCTCACTGTTTTATTTTCAAGTGTCAAAAGTTCATTAAAGATAGGACTGGTTGATTAGTCACAGCCTTTACAGTAAATAATCTAATATAAACAGTAATATACACATTTAAGTACATTTTGCTCAGTGCATTTTTTATGTGTCAAACGTTTAATGAAAGGAATGATTGATTTATCCGTGTTTACAAGAAACAATGTGTTCAGAAAAGTAATACAAACTGTCAAGCACATTATGCTCTGTTTGGTTTTGTTAATGACTTTGTTCTGTACTGGAGCCTACTATTACTGTTATCTATTGAATCAAAGCATATTAAAATGTGCTTGAACAATTTTATCATTTAATCATTAATACTGTTTGTACTGGAAGAGAGAATGGGGGGGGGGGGTCGTCAAAAATTTTACTGGTAAAAAACGGGGTCCCTTGGGAAAAAGGTTGGGAACCACTGTTCTAGGGTACCTCTCAGCCAATAGCGATGGCAGATTTAAATTCAAATGCAGTGCAGAGTTTTTACCTGACAACGGCACAACACTGACAGTTTTAGGCAGAAAATTGAAATTTTAACTAAAATGCACTAAAGTGCTAAACTATTGACTACACGTGTCTGCAGCACGATTAGACACACATTTATATAGTTTATCAGAAAAAAAAGTTGATTTGGGGTGACTTGCTCTTTAAATGGATCTAAACAAAAATATGAAGAGAAGTTTGGGCTTTAAAACATTTCTATTTTCACAGTTTTTGCTACTCAGGCTGAAAAACAGAGCATAAAATAACTAAAAGATGAAGGCATCCTATGCAACATTTTCATATTTTTAAATGGTTTTCTTGAGCCAGTGTGTGCTAAAATGACACGTTACAGGGTTAATGACTCAGACCCCACCACCCTATGAGGTCGGAATACTGCACTTGCAACTTCAGGAGTGGAGTGGAGCTGACATGGTGACGCTGCAGTCTGCTTCCAGCAGGTTTCCTGCATGTATTAAATCATCAACACAGCTGATTGGTTTCATTTAGTGATGAATTGCTGCTGCAGACTCTAATGAAGGCTGAAGAGACATTTCAGTAGTTAGATTAAGGTGTTAAAACGACGACCGCACAGCGAGGAGATAAGTTTCATTTTTAGTACAACTGCAGTCAATTCATTACAGACACTAGTAGAGATGTGCACTGGTGAAATTCTAGTGATACGATAAGTATCACGACTATAGATCATACAGGGGAGACGCTATGATATATCATGATATATTGCGATTAAGTCAAACGTTTTTTTTGACTGAATTTATTGTAGGAAAATTCAATAAACATTCCAAACTGATACTTAACATGTTTAACATGAGGTATCTGAACCATAGCAGAGGGATTTACATTTCAATGGTGGAAACAAACTCACTGCACACTGCGGACAACTAGCAGTCAGCGTTTGAACTGCACCCAAAGAAAAAAAAATACACAAATGTTTGACTGTGAATTCTTCCAAAAATTAGCAACACGGCTGTCCAATACCGATGTAATATCACAGGAAAAATATCACAATATATTTCCATGTCGATATTTTCTGACATCCCTAGACACTAGGGGCTGCTAAAAACAAACAAAACTGCCTAGTAAAAAGTATTCCTGTCAAAAAATTTGGTACAATTTGTAACTGACTTTTAACACGAACGTATATCAGAGCTCACCAGTTATCCCATTATAAAATCAATGTTTTACCAAATATAGAAACTCACATCCAACCACTTCTGACCTTGCAGAGTCCAGATCTACTGCCCTCTGGAGCAGAATCTGCAGGTGGTAAGGGCCAATTTTATTTCTTTATTACTGTTACATTGTAATATAGCTACATAATAAAACACATATAGTCATTATATCAACATTGGCAACATTGATAATTAGGGCTTTAATTTGTTCAACTTGAAGTGAATTACAATTCAAACTGACTAACGGGTTATTTGATGTATTAAAAATATAAGTTTAAGGATTCTGCATAACCTGCTGAATCAGTATGATAAATGACCCGCACTTGTGTGGCGCCTCTCAGAGTACGGACTCCAAAGCGCTTTACACTACAGTGTATCATTCATCCATTCACACACACATTCACACACTGGTGGGGATGAGCTACGATGTAGCCACAGCTGCCCTGGGGGCGCACTGACAGAGGCGGGGCTGCCGAACACTGGTGCCACCGGTCCCTCCGACCACCACCAGCAGGCAAGGAGGGTTAAGTGTCTTGCCCAAGGACACAACAGCAGAATTCTCTGTCCGGAGCCAGGATTGAACCTGCAACCTTCCGATTACTGGACAACCCGCTCAACCTGCTGAGCTACTGCTGCCCTGGTAAATGCAAGGAGTGGGCACAAAGTTAAGTATCAGTTTGGAACAAAGAAATGGACGCTTCAACGATGGAAAACCAAAGATGAGGAATTGTGTTTTAATAATGTCTCCATTTATAGACAATTTACCCTAATTTTATTCACAGTATGGCTGCCAGCCAGTTGCAAAGTTGTATTGCACTGACTGACCCACCAAATCTAAATTAAGAAGGGTTTAAAACTCCAGTGATGGGAAGAAATGTATTGCACAAGTCGTTTGAACCATCTAAAATTCCAGTTAAAGGTGAAGCTCACGACTCACAACAGACACGAATGTCAACAGACGCAGCCCACAGAGAAGCAGCCGGAAAAGTCATAATGACACATTTTGCTTTATCCTCAAATAGCACAGCTTTATAAGAGAGTTCTACATCCACGTATACGAACATTAGAGTTAAGCTAGGCTGTGAAGTAAACACAAGAATCAATAAAAGAAGACTATATAAATAAAAGAAGGGAGTACAGGCAGAGAAAAAAATCAAAAAGTAAACAAATCTGTGTTTGTATTGACTTTTGTAAACACTGGATATTTATCAGGTATGTGTTATCTGCAGGTGTGTGCACATGCTCATTTGTTCACTAACGCGTGAGCTTTCAGTCAGTGCAACAGGAGCTTCAGATATGTTTGAGAAACGATGTTAAAGGAGCAGCTGGGAGGGCGGATGAAACGGAGCGCGGGTGAGGCAAGCCAGGGTCCTCCAATTAAAACGTCATATTCAAAAACCAATAAAAAGCTAAAAGATCATACCAAGACACGAGTCGGACAGGCGGACATCACACCAGCAACTTACGGGATCGAAACAAGACAAGGTCAAAAAGGAAGGGAGGGGGACGGAGAGGAAAGGAAAGGAAGCAAGCAAAGGTTGTAGGAGAGGGGAGGCTGGGAGGGTGAGGGACGCAGATGCTCCTCTACACATACTAACCTTCAGGTCCCTGTGCACTATGTCATGCTGGTGAATGTGATGGACACTGTCTAGAATCTGATGGATACAGTGACTGTGAAGACAAAACAGAGAGAGGAGGGGCAGTGGGGGTGGAGGAGGGATGAGGATACATGAGCCACAGGGGTGCACAGAGAGAAGGACGGAGGTGGCGAAAATAAAAAAGACAAGGGGTGAAGGAGGAGGACGCCGGCTGAGTAGTGTGACAGAGAGGGCCAATAAGCCACGTTAGAGAGGAGGAAAAGGCCAAGCTGGACCAAACGAGTGACAGGAGATGTCAGAAAACATGACGTAAGAGGTGAAGGGAGAAAAAGAAGAAAGGAGTGATGCAGACAGAGATGTAGGAGAGGAAGGGATGGGCAGGTAGGAAAAGGAGTGCGGGTGGAGGACACAGAAATGTTTCGTTCTGCTTTAAAAAAACAACAAAAAAAAGCGTGATGAGACAAGAGCAGCCGCAGCCGAACGACCTGCCAGACAAAACCCACAACGCAACGGAGAGAAGAACGATGAAGCCGTGAAAGAAAAGAAAAGCACATTTTACACAAAACAGGAACGCTCGTGTAAAGGATGACACTGAATCACAAAGGCCTGGTGGGCTGATGCCAGGTCACTTTTCCACCACTAAGAGGGAAACGTCACAATGTGTGTGTGCATTGAAATATTTGCGTATTGTGTTGAATGTGCAGAGTATGTGACTAATAGCAGGAGCAGGGAGACGGCAGCCTGCAGGATCCACACCCACACAGCGTCTACTGAGTGGGTGGACTGAGAGAGAATCAGAGAGATACGTGGATGCACGCTTCATTTTTGCAATATTAACTAAAGCAAATGTTAATTGAAGAGCCTCATATTCACGAGTTTTTCTTTTAAAGCACACAAGACATCCATCAGCTACAACACACGTGGATAATTAGCCCTACGAACAACATCTTTATCCATGTTTATTCAGAAAGTTCTGAGTTCATGTAAAAATCTTCCCTAATAAGGAGATAAGTCCAATAGCTGAGCATCTTATCTACCCTCAGACACATCCTGGCACTCCAGGAACTGGACTAGGTCATTTTTGAACAGCAGTGACCTAATTTTGTTGTGTGAGACATGAAAGAGTGATGAATAAGAATACAGAACTAACAAGATGAACGACTGCAACCTGTGCGTTCAGGAAACATTCAACTAATTAAGTCAACCACCTCCAACAATTAGAAAAAACATAATTAGCCGGGCTTAATGAGTGAATAGCACCATCATTAATGCCCTGGGTCTTACGGACGGTGTCTTCAAATGCTCGCCCTGATGGTTTCATCTGCGTCTTTTAAAAACTAGACGAGTCAGCTTCACTAAAACCGACATTCATCCTTCTACTTACTGCATTTGTTTCTGACATTAACCTCCCAGGGCCCTGTGACCACATACGTGGTTCCTTGCACTATATATTTTTATCATCTTCACCTTAGACCTTTTTGTTATTACTTATAGATACACGATATCGACTTTAAATTAAAAAAAATGTTTGTTTTCTTTCTTTTTATAGAAAATGTGACAAATTTTAATTTAATTAAATTTTTAGGTAACGCTTCCTCTTACAGTCCCCTAATTACTATGTACTTACATGGTAATTACATAGTAAGTCAAAGTGTAATATTGCTTCTGAGTTCTTAAACAGTTATTACCATGTAACTCAGGTTCAATTCTACTTTTTTTTTTATCATTCCTAGTATATACTGCTTTACATAATAATCACACTTTATTACAATTATACACTTTAATTACACAATAACATACTTTAACTTACTATGTAATTACCATGCAAGTACTTAGTAATAACCAGGGTATCTGCAGGTTTAAGGGAGCCAAATTTAAGACTTTTTAAGACCTTTTTTAAGGCCACTTTGACCGAATTTAAGCTATTTTTATAATTACATTTAAGCTTTATTTTACAGCTATTGCCTGGAACCGGTGCTAACCGTGTCGCGAACATGGGATTAGCCATCCAGTTACCATTAAACTTGCACTTCCCCATGGCGCAAGCTCCCACTAGCTTAACCAGCTAATGTGCTCATCTAAAAATAGCCCCCTTTCACAACCAACTGAATGTGTACGGTTCCGCTTACGCCAACATCATACACAAAAAATGCTGAGCTAACTAAAAATTCACGAAAATTTTATAGAAATAAAAGAATCTTGTTTATTGGGTCTTTGGTAATTTAAGACCTTTGGAAACTATTTAAGGATTATTTGTAATTTTTAAGGATTTTTCAGGCCTTAAATATGGAAAAGCAAATTTAAGACTTTTTAAGACTTTTTAAGGACCCGCGGATACCATGAATAACGGGACTGTAAAAGGAAGTGTTACCATTTTTTCTTTTAAATCACATCAAATACAGGTTCAGGTCTCGGGAGGTTAATAAAAAGCTAAATCAGCGTTTTCTTCACTACAAACAGCCTTGCTGTTTGAAAAGATTTTTCTCCCTTTGATCCAAACCGTTTGTGACTAGAAGCTTTACTAGAAAAAGAAACACAAACTGACACTGACAGTAACCCACTGAGTATGGCATTTAGAAGCAAGACAGCGCCTCCGTCCCACTCTTGTTTACCTGCTTGTGCACGCCTGTAATCCCTCACTGTCTGAAAACACGATGTCATTCCCGGGAATCTGTCTGCTGAGGAATACTGAGCGGAAAAAGGCAAATCAACTTAAATACATTTTAAGCAGCCAAGCACACAAAAGATAAAACACACTACTTAAATTAACCCTTAGAGGACCACTCTTTACTATATTTTATATTAAAACACAAGAATAATTCTGATTAATGATAATTATATGTAAACTTTGAGTTTCTCAGACTGAATCTTGCTGATCCCTTTTTACAAAGGATGCCTTGATGAATATTTGGGTGTAATTTACTCCAAATTTACTCATAATGGCCTCGATCCAATCAAATGCTGCTGAAGAGGAACTCTGACGGATTCTGACTGGGGGCGACAAGGTGTGATGCTGCACGGTCTGGGGTCTGAGTGAGCGTGAGACTAATTATCATGGCTAATTAAAGTCCCACTTCTTGCTGGTTTCCAAGGGAGCATGGGTGGAGGGGTCTCTGTGTGTGTGTGTGTGTGTGGTGCTGGCCTGAATGAGTGACATTCAGACAGGAAGCAGAAAATATGAGAACAAATTATTTATAGTTTTTTCTGCCAGTGGAATTATAATTTTGGCTCAAAAGAATCCACACAAAAAATAGAAAAACGTTAGAAATCTCTTGATTTTTGCATTTCTGTCGCAGCTAAAGCTGTTCTTTGACTCAGATTTGAGAGCAAAGCTGCTGGAGAGGACTAAATGTGCACCTCTGACAGATTAATAGACCTCTATAGAGCACAGGAGGTGTGCATGTAAACTCAGGTAATTAGCACATGGACATCTCACACTAAAACATCCACTTATTAGACTAATACAGCTAAATTAGCACTAGGGGATCATTAATACACGTTTAAAATGTGGGTGATTTTAAAGATCTCGACAGTTAATATTTCAGGTTTATTTTTTATCTATTTTATTAACATCTAGAATCTAATAAGAGTCGGTTTTCAATAAGGGGGACAAATAATCAAACGCTGAGGGATATGACCTTTCCACTGGTAGTGATTCATGGGATTCGTAGCCACCTATTGCTGCTGCTGCTACAAAACATGCCATCTGCAGCTGTGGTCCATAAAAGCGGGTGGAGCGCTGAATCATAAAACAATTATCCACCCGTGACCGAGTAACAACGAGGCTATCAGAGATGTTCGGTCGATCTTATGAGCTAATCGAGAGTCCAGCGAGGAAAGAAACCAACAAAAATTATCTCCAGAAAGGAATAATTGTGTTTTACGTAAAGTTTGAATGGTTTAACATGTCATTTCCAGGGTCATGAGGCGTTGATGGTGCTATTGATGGATCAGAAGTTAGAAAACTTGGGAATCACTCATCTTATCAATACTCTCGGAGATCTCAACCAATATTTCAATAAGGTTGGACACTCAAAGTGTCATAAAGGCTTGTTAACCTGCTAATCTTACCTACAGTCCTTTAAAACATGACAATAATGCAAATAATTTTATGTTTAAGCATTCAACAGGAGCTTTTATCCAAGTTAACAGCAAAAAGACTAGGAACGAGCTGGAATTGACCCTCAGGAAACAGGACGACCCGCTCTGCCTCCAGCTTCCCTACGGAGCATTAATTCTGGTATTTCTAGTGATTTTCTAGAAAAAACAGTCAACTCAAGTTTTGCTTTTAACGCTTCTGAATGAACAAACGCCCACATGACAACTGTCAGTTTCAAGTATCTCTCTCACTTTTCTCTATGCCTTTTGTCTGCCCCACCAACTACTCTACTTCCTCTTCCGCTAATGGTTAAAGCGAAAGGTATGTGGCGACGAGTCAGCAGGGGCGGTGGGCGTCAGAAATACAGCGGCGCGGTTGGTGGTAGGAAGATGAAAAAGAACACAAGAAGGGAAGAAAGCAAAACTGTCCACACGTTCTAGAGGTCTTCATTAAGGTCTGCTGGCAGTCTGGATTTACTCTCGTCTGTTTGAGTTTGAGGGAAGAAAGTGACATCACTGGGTGTAAGCTGGGCTTTTAAAGAGACAATGTGTAGCTTTCACCGGTAATCTCTGGAAACATCCATGGAAATGTTGTTGAAAATAAATTAAATGATGCCCAGTTGTTAAAAAATATTGGTAGCTTTGTAACATATAACCATATAAATCATATCCAAGCGGGTCTGTCGGTGTTTCTCAATGTGAAGGCGCCTGGCCTTGCGAGGCGATGTCTTGCGAGGCCAGGCGCCTTGCTTACGAGGACACGGTCCTTCCTTGGTCAAAGAAAATGGTTAAATAGAACAAACTAGCATCACGTGACCGCGGCTTCCACGGCGGTCACGTACCGTCACGTGACACGGGAGATAACGTTATATTTTATACGTATTAGTTTCAATATAAATATATAACGAGCCTTTTACTATGTTTATTAAATTAAACATGTAAGCTAGTTACTACCCGCCACCAAAGCTGCAACTA